AGCCAGGTAACTTCCGAGCTTCAGCTGCACCCAGCCAGACACCCCCCGGCCTGAGGACTCACTGCAGCAGTGTGCTGGGAAGGGGGCTAGCGCAAGCTTTCTTTGGCGAAGGTTTTTTTTTTTTTTTCTGGGTTGTCTGAAGCTGACTTTTGTAACTCTTGACTCTTTGCTTCCTGCCAGATAAACTGAAATCCACCAAAGAGGAGCATCTCTGCACGCAAAGAATGCTGGACCAGACCCTGCTAGACCTGAACGAGATGTAACGGATCCCTGCCACTGCCTCTGCCACACGATGCCCGGGGGGGCCGCCCAGCCGCCGCTGGCCTGTCACCCTGGGGGACCAGAGTTTACTTTCTGTTGCCAACTTGACCAAACACAAGTCTTATTCCTTTGCCTCAGGGTTAGAGGCCATCAGGTTGGGCAGAGCTTCAAACAGCGTTATTAAGGGAAATAAACAATGCAATAATGTTTGGGGAGCATGTTTGAGATGTATACATTTTGTAACTACCTTTCTTTTTTTTTGTAGCAACCATTGTAAACATTCCAAATAACTCGTGAGGCTGGTGAGCTACACTTCAAAGCTCTTGGCTTTAAAATTCGGTATTAACCTTCTTGTTAATCAGCTGTGGGCCACCCTGCTTTGGCAGGGGAGGAAGGAGGGTGCGACAGTTCCTGGCTGTGGGCCACTGAATCGGAGTAGCCGGGCTAGGGATGGAAGCCTGTTGGGAAAACTTCCTTTCCAGGAGCTGTTTGCCAAAAGAGCCGTTCAGTTTCTCAGCTTTAAGGTAACTCTGTGTTGTGGAGAAGCAGTTTCTTGGGTGAAAGGAGACTTCTTTTTTTTTAATTTTTTTTTTTTATTTTTTAAGCCAAACCAGTTATCTGAACAATTGAACCTTCACAGGGTTTGTTTCCCTTTCTTCGCCCCCACTGTTGGCCACTTCCTTTCCCGGCCCCTCTAACCCGTTGCTACACGGGGGTTGAATTTGCCTTCACTAAGTGCTGACGCACCAAGCTTTATCGCTCATTGCTGGGTTACACTTAACAGCTTAAGTACAACAGCCTTGTTTCCTTGGAGTCCTTGTGCCTACCCCCAGGGAGGGAGCGAGGCCTTCCCTGCCGGCCGGGCACGCTCTCGGTGTCCCACCGAGGCCCAGGCCCTCTCGCTGTGCATCGCTGACCTGCCCTTGTTGTGAGGTGTGCGTGTGGAGATGTGTCCAGCTTGTGGTTTCAGCATGCTGCTTGGTTGTAGCTGTTCTAGGGGCCAATCTCGAGGAAAAGAACCCTATCAAGTGTTTTGATACTAAATTGAAAAAAAATTGTCTTACTGTCTTTTGAAATAAAAACCAATCCCTCCACGCTGCTCTCCGGCTCCAGAGCTTTACTCTGTGGGGGGGGGGATGAGGGCGGGACTGAAAAGCGGGGCCTGTGCCCGTCCCTCAGGGAGGACAGCGGGGCTGAGGTAAGGCCAGGCTCGCCCAAGC